ACACATTTTCAGTAGCCTGTGATCAATATTTTCTATTTAGGTGTTTGATTTGGGTAATTTTATGTGCGAAAGACTAAACCAGCTCTTTCTATTTAGTGTTAAAATAAAGCTCAGATTAAAGTCTAATAAGCCCCAGATAGAGCAGTGCTTACAGTTAGCGTCACACCCTCAGCGAATGTTTATTTATATTTATTTATTTTGCACATGTAACATAACAATAAAGAAAACTATACTAGATAAAAAGTAGGTGCCGGAAGAGGCAAAAAAGTGCTAAAGTGCTTATATTAAAGCCTCCACCTTATGAATACATAAAAAATTTAACATTATCCTAATTTGCCATCACAAACCAGATATGATCACTCCAGAATTTCCCACCTCTGTATTGTAGAAAAACTGAGCTCCTGATGTGACACATTTTGGAATATGAACATTACGATTTTGACAAGTTTTGTATCTGTGAATGCATTGGTTTTAAAGTAAAATGTGAATTGTTTGGGGATCATTGTTGAATTATAAACAATTGTATACATAAAAATACAAATTTGATAAATATTGATCTCATAAATATTAAGAATGCAAAGTTTGATGAATAAATTAGCAGACGTTGTTAGTGGCATGGAGTTGCAATTCGAACAAAACGTTTTTCACTAATAATCTTTTGTTCAGAGTAGTTGAGAAAGTGCTGGTTGTTGGTGACATCAGCTGCAAAGTCGGCTTATCAACTGGCAGAAAAGTTAAGGGGTTTTGGGAAAAGGGTTGGTTGTTTTCATTGGTGCTAGTTAGTTAAACTGTTGCACTTTGAGTCAGTCTGGAGCCTCTTTTATTGGACACTTTTATTCTTTAAAATCCCTCTAGTATACTGTAAATTGCCTCTTTGGGTTATAAGCAGGACACATTGCTACAGTGTGACTCTGATGATTGTACTCTCCAGATGCGCTCGCTCTTAAATGAGTCACATTATCGCCTTGTGTTATTTCACTGCCGTGCACATGTGTACTTTTGTCATCTACTCCACACACAAGAAGTACTTTTGACACAAGCAAGGTCACAGTGTTTATAGCTCTCTAATGACATATTAAGTCTGAATGAGGACTATGGGTGCAATCCCTAAGAGAAAGCTAACGTGGCAGCTCACATTTCAACACCCAAAATGAATTCTCACGGCAGCACTGTTAGCGCCCTCACGTTCATAAAGAAGTGATAATTTATGGCTGCTAATTCTCCTTGCGGCCTTACACTTTCAAACCATAATGACGCTGGCAACTTTGATTCCTCTGACTCATGTTGACGCGCGCCCACCTGCTGCTGTGGTGCCTTCTTCACACTGGCTGTTTGTTTTTATCATTATCTCTAATGAGCGAAAGTGGTCCTCAATGTGAATGTGGCAAGAGTGATTGTATAAAAAGGAAGAGGAAGTGGCACTCAGGATTGTGTTCAAAGCCCTAAGACTCAATCCTGGTGAGCCTCCTTTTCTACTTTGTATTTGAAAGGAGGGTCTGGTGTCTTCCTCACAGCTAATTAAGTTTTTGGAAAACTTATAGTTTATTTGCGACGGGTCATTAAAAAGAAAAACAACACCTGAAAATATATGGAATCATTCAGAGCAAACTTTTCTCATATTTGATCTTGTGATTTGGTAGAGTTCCTATTTTAGTTTGTCCCAAGGGTGTAGGTTTGGTCTCAGCTTTGGTGGGGACATTATCAGCTTCCCTTTGCTTGTTGGTGATGAGATATTTGTGAGGTCATGTTCAGACATTTTTCCATGGAACATTGTCAGTAGAGTCGGGCTGCTAACAGCGCACGAGAAGGGCTCCGTCTGGAAGGTGCACTTGTGGTGGTAGACGTTTTTTTTTCCCGCGGCGACTCATTATGAGGCAAGTTTAACTGGAGATGAAGCCAAGTAAGTTCCTTTTGAAAATGTTTTCATAGTTTGGTGCAAAGCGTCTTCACTCACGCCTGCTCAAGCCGCCATCTTCGGGTGCTGCACTGTTCTGCCGCTTCCCCAGTTTAGGCTCCAGGTTCCACTAATGACATCACTCTGTTGCAGCCAATGAAATGGTGGCAGGTGTAACCCTGTCATCATATCACTGAATACATCTCAATAAATTTATATTTTTGTTTATTAAAATAAAATGGATATGGACTATTTTCTCTTCCCCAAATATTGATTGTGACATGTCCCCACCATCCCTATGCAAACCTACACCCTTGGTTTGTTCCATAAAAAAAAAAAAAAAAAAATCTCCATTCTTTGTCTATCCCGTATTTGTTTTGGCTAGTGTTTGGACTAGTCTAAACCTGTCACTTTTGTCCATCAGAACTCATTAGACCCTTAAACACACACACTTAAACATAAAAACTGTTGTACATTTCTTAACTCCTTTTGCCCAGGGTTTATATCTCTAAATTCTGCTGAAATAACACACAAATCTCTGTCATTCTGATCACTGTTAAATGCATTCACCCAACAGTAACTCATGATGGCTCAAAGTCACCCCCATCCCTCCCAGAGCAGCTGTGTCCATTCAACTGAGCTGTGCTTTATGGAGACATGAGCCTGGTGTTTCATTAGACCTCACACTGTCACTGGCCCTGTCCACTCCAGAGGAAACCAAAGTTATGTGGGGTAGGACAACTATTACTCTATGGCACTGACAAACTAAATTAATGCTGCAAGTAGAATGTAGCAACTAGATGTTTACAGGTCTTATATTATGCAAAACTGACTGACACCTCATCAAAAACATCTCTAGAGTTGTGTTTTATTTCATTCACACGTATTTTAGAAATCCTTTATTATCAGTGTATCTACATCTCCGAAGTTCAAAATGCTCTATGCCACCTTGTGATGTCATGTAGTAGTAGTGTTACATTTTAACTTTTGCTCAATAGTGATTGGCAATTCCACGGATGAAAAGTTGGAACAGGGTGTTTTCTATTTGAGAAGAGCCTAAATATGATGAATTTGTGTGTTAAACATGTGTGAATGAAACAAAACAACTCCAGGTCTGTTTGTGATGAGGAAACATTATAACTTAGAGCAGAAAATGGTGTAATATGGGCTCTTTAATTAACATCTATGAAATGGCTGTATTGATTGAACAGCTAAATGTGTCACACTGTGGGTCTATGGTGAGCCAAATGTTTTTCTTCTGTCAAGCCTGTTGAGTGTCAAGCGATAATTCAGTTACTCTTGACTGTAAATGACTGTATATAAATTTGATTAAGATTCCAGAAACAGAAAAACATCTCAGACACGGACTGTTCTGCCAACTTTACGCTAATTTTACCTGTAGTTCAGCTGTCCTCTTTTGCCTAAAACCATAGCAGCATTTTATAAATTATTGTCTTGTTTATTTGCGTTTCACCTTGTGATGTCAAATGGTTATACAGGAAGCGCTCCACATGTGTGAATGAAACAAAACGCAACTCGAGGTGTGTTTTTGATGAAGTAACAACAACCTGACTTAAAGCTCATAAGAGTCAATTTTACTAATTACTAATTTAATACAGGAACTTTAAACTGTAGTATAATCCCAACAACTACTGTTTTTGACACTCCCAAGTAGCGGTGTGCAAAAATATTGATATGTTGTATCGTTTAATGTGATGATACAGTATCGATATCGTGGGCAGCTGTATCGATATATCGCCAGTAGTGTTTTTTGGTATATTTTACTCAATTATTTTGTTACAGCACTACAGTTTTGTTGTGTGTTTAGAGGAAGGAAACTCGTTCATGTCACACATTTAACATTTTCACTGTTTTGACGATTAAAATGTTTGTGTTTCATATGAGCTTTGCACAAGAAGTGGTTTAACAAAGACTTTTAGTATCACACCCATGATTTAGCCTTTATTTTCTATTAAACCATATTTAATCAATTTGAAATATATCGTATTGAATTGAAAGCGAGATATGTATCATATCGTAGCCTATGTATCGAGGTATGTATCATATCGGACACTTCTTAATGATACCCAGCCCTAGTCCCAAGCCTGCATAAAACATCAGAAATGACTTAGAGCAATAGAACTATAGTAAATCAATATGCTACAAATAACCTCATTCTTTAACATAAACTAGATACTTGTTTTAAACCTTTCCCGTATTTGACTTGTCACACATCAGTTACACCTCACATCGTGTATAGAATACTACATGCATACTGAGTGAGTTTAAACCAATTTCACCTTTCTGCCCACAGCTCCTCTGCAGCGGGCGCTTTGATCTGATGTACAGGCAGACATATAGAGATTAAAGCTGGGCTGTTGTGTTTATGTATTCCCCTGATACAATACACCGCCAGTAATTAAGTCTGTAGCCACAAACTCAGACACGCACCACCACAGTCACGCTGCTAATTATATATGGAAAACGTATCATTATTCTCCTGTATTTAACGACCTTTGGCCCTCATTAAAGTGTACGTGCGCTATGAAGACGGGCTGCGTTTTCTTATAGCGCGGGTCAAGTCTGGCTTATTTCGCACATGAATCCAATTTGATCAGTGATATTCTTCAACATCAGAGCTCAAAAGGGCTTAATAAAATAATGATTACAGTTAATGAGGGCGCCTGTAACGAACCAGCTCTGGTGCTTTCAATTAAGGAGCAAAGGGCGCCAGGGCACAGAGGTGGAGTCAGTGTGGGAATGACCAATGATTAAAAATAACTTAAAGCCACACTGTGTAACTTTCCTGTCCCTTGTCTCCATGGATGTGTTATTGCTTTGCCCGCATTGTCCTATAGTATGGCATTAAACTTATCTATCTCAAGTAACAGGTCAGATCTGTGGAGAGGCAAACCTGCTACCTCTAAAATGCAACGTATTCATCTCAAACATCTCAAAATCTGTGCAAAATGCTTTTACTTTTTACTCTTTAAGTACGTTTTTAAACATACTTGTGATACTTTTCTTTGAGCACTTATACTTAAGTAACAAAATTGAGTTCTTCTTCCACCTCTGATACTTATTACTTTTGTGGTGCTGTGTGCAGATAGCCTGTCTCCTCCTGTCAATGTGACTGTGAGAGAGGTGCGAGCCCGGTTTGCTGTGGTCACATGGGACATCCCCGAAGGAGACAACGTGATCGGGTTTGCCATCACACAGCAGGTAAACAAATCCAAGGACTCGTCAAAACTAAATTCATTAATCAGAGCTGGTCATTAGCTGTCATGTCGGATTTTCTGTACCGAGTCACTGGGTCAAAACCTCATTAATTGTATGTAATTGACTTTATATGCTGCCTAGAGTGTGAACTTTTAACACTTCTGGCATTAGAGGAACTTGTTTTTACTGTATAACATTGTCAACCACTTCAACAGAGCTAATTTAGCAAATAGAGTCTTACTGAAAAGATGTTTGGTGCCATTTTAAGTGCACACAGTGTAATCAGAATCAGAATTACTTTATTGAGCTCCGGAGGGAATTTTTTTTTTTTAACTTACTGACATAATTTTCCAACAAAAAAAAGATAATGTAGAGTTGGTGTTGTAAAACTAAAACTCAAACTGAATAAGTAAAGAGAATATAAAAACAGAAGCAATGAAGTTTTAGGATGTGTTCACATTGTAGTCGTTAGGCATTTTGACTGATGTATTCTTGCTTTGGCCCTGTTCTAGTCCTGGATTAGTCCCAAATTTAGCTCCAGTTTGGATGTGGTGATTGTGCAAAGGTGAATGCACCATAAACTATTAAATATAAAAAGAAATATTAGAAGTTGTATAATAAATACATTTTAGGTATGTAACAATAAACGAGATTTCGTGATATCATATCGTTAAAAGTCTCACAATAATATCGTGTACCCTCACAATATATTGAATCACAAGTTTATTTGATTAAATTCATTGTTACGATGCAGCAATAACAAAAAAACTGAGGGAACTACATAAACCATGAACCTTTGCGCTGTTTCAGTCCAATCTCCATGCTGAAGTAACGGTTATTAAGCACTTTTAAATCTTAATTATTTGGATTATGATGAGAGAAAAGTAGCATTTTGACAATTTTGTTAACCTACATAAAATATTGCAATAAATATCGTACTGTGAGATGCATATTGTGAAAATATTGTATCAAGAGAATTAGATACGTTACATCCCTAATACATATATACATTGTCTTTTATTGTATTAATTTGTCTGTGAAGCACTTTGGAAATTGTCATGTTTATAAAATGTGCTATATAAATAAAGTGAATTGGATTGAGGTTACTGAGCCGTATATAATACAAATTCCCCACTATTGTCTTCAATCTATAATATTCACTGTGCATCATGTGTATAGAACTAAACCACACTTTATCTCCAAATCTTCTAACATGGGTTTCTCATTCTTACTCCTATCATATTTGTTCTCCTCAAATCTGCATTTTGCGTATTGCAACCCAAGAATGTACAATCATTCAATTAAAGAAGACATATTGTGCTGAGCCTACTATCTAATCTAAGACACCCATGGATCATTATGTTACAGTTTGCACATTTTAAATCTGCAGTATTCATCTAAAACGACTAAATACAGGGTAGCTGCGGGGTCTTAAAAGTCTTTAAAAAGTCTTAAATTTCATGTTTTTAAATTAAGGCCTTAAAAAGTCTTAAATTCTATTGTCCAAGTCTTATTTTTTATCACAAAAGTCTTAAATTTCATTAGCCTATTTTTTGTATACTCAACCGGGCTGCAGTGCAATGTTAAACGGAGGGAGAAAAAACCCCAAAACAAAACCAGCAAAAAAAACGTGAAATCATGTAACGTGACTGAACGTCTAATTTGGAGGATGTGCAACCAGTACTTAGTTTGTCTTGTTAGAATGTTATAAATTAATTTTTGGCCATTTTACAAGCAAATGAGTTCTGAATGAGATTTTATAATAACATTATTTTTTATTATTTAAAGCAGTGAGTAATGGTCATTATTAGAATTGGATCTGGTGTTTTTGTTGGTCTTAATTTTCATTTAAATGGTTTTATAAAGGTCTTTAAAAAAAGTCTTAAATTTGGCGTAGTTAAACCTGGGGACACCCGGTAATAAAAGAAACAAGTCACTTCCACGTTAGCAAACTGCGGTGCCCAATGGGAGCTGAGTAGCAGACTTTTTTCCTCCACATATTATCAATTAAGAAAATAATTTTGCATGATAGGTTTGCTTTAAGACTCCAGCTGGCAGTGGCATTATCTAACTTACATTGTTATCCCTACAGAAGAAGGACGTGCGCATGCTCCGGTTCATCCAGGAAGTCAACACAACCACCCGCTCCTGTGCATTATGGGACTTGGAGGAGGAAACCGACTACATTGTGCATGTCCAGTCCATCAGCATGTCTGGTATGAGCCCGCACAGCGAACCTTTACGCTTCAGGACGCCCAAAGACACGGACACTCAGGCCTCTAAGAGCAAAGGTAACATGACCAAATAATATACAGAACAAATGTCAACCTCTGAGTTAAAATAGCACCATTGTTGTTACCGAGTTCAATAGGGGGTTTGGCTTTTTGACAATCTCGACTGTTTCTAGCCAAAGACCAATAAAAATCAATAGCGGCAGTAAGCGTGAAATGAAATCTTGCAGTGGAGCACTCCTAAAGCTCACCCTTGCTGACCACAACTCAGGAATAAAAGCGCTGAGGTGGGTGTATGCTTCAGTGTATTGATGTGCCTCGGCGGGCTTCACCTGCACAGCCAGTCCACAGTGAAGCCAATGAGGAGAGCATTCATCAGACAGGAGCTGGTGCGAGCTGTAGGGGACGAACGATCAATAGACCCTGGCCAAAGCCTTCCTGCATCTATTTCTGTTCTCATTTACACTCATCTTTACCCAAGCACTGCCTCAACTATATTATACTTAATCTGTAATAGTATGTGTCGCGATTTTTTGAAAAGATGCTCAAGCAAATTCTCCTAGTTGCTTACAACATCAAAAATACTCCCCAGTTAGAAGAGAAGGTAATATCTAATCTAGTGTGCATCCAGTTGCAGCACTGAGAGAGAAAAAGGACTCGCAGTCTAAAATGATTGTTATTATTATCTTTTTGTTAAGAGTTATACATCTCTTAACAATGACTAAATAATTATACATTTCTACTGTATTATGTATTTTGTTGTTGAAATCCACTGGTAACAGCATAAATGACTTCCCCTGTGGTGCTACAGTTTACCTTTTCTCTATTGTTCTCTTTTGTGTTTGGGAGAAAATCATGGCAAGTATTTTGAATTTAAATCTCGTAGTGCAGTTGTAGACATGAAGAATGCAAATCTTAAAAGGTGTTATGTTCTTTTGTTCACAATATAACCGTTAAGACAAAAATTCAGACAAAGAGTTTCAGACAAAAAGGACTTTGTTAGGACCTTCCCCATTCAAAAGATAATATTTTGATATAAATTGCTTAATTGCTATGAATGACCATGGAGGACAGATGCCATAGCTTGAAACCCATGAATAGTGAGTTTCCTGCAGTGTCCTGTTCTCCTTTCCTCTAACATTGCACTAAACTGTATACAGCTTATACCAACACAGTCTTCTGTCATTGTGCTTGTGTCCACACTGTCTATCTTTACTCTTGACATACCACATTTTGTTGTTTCAGACGAAGTGACCATGGAGGAGGTGGGTCAGGCCACACAGCTCCGAGCGGGAGAGCTCATAATCATTGTGGTGGTTCTAATCATGTGGGCAGGTGAGGACTCAGCCTCTCCTGAGCTGGAGAGTAGTGAAAGACTAGAGAGGTCATGTGGTGTTATCTGAAGGTGCTCAGCTGTCAACACTGTGTCTGTTTCAGGTGTCATCGCTCTGTTCTGTCGCCAGTATGACATCATCAAAGACAATGAACCCAACAACAACAAGGACAAAGCCAAAAACTCCTCAGAGTGCAGTACTCCTGAACATCCAACAGGGGGGCTGCTGCGCAGTAAGGTATAACCCACCCCCCTTTACCCGGGTGCTCCCTCTTCGGCGCCGGGCAGGTGAATCGTCCTGGCCACTTTATTCAGAATATTCCACTCCATGCACAGCCATAGCCATCTGAGCCTCTGCTGCAGAACAATATTATTTTAAACTGCCCTCAGGATCAAGTCACAGCTTCTTTTGATTAGAGCCCCATTTCATTCCCTCTGCGTTCAAATCAGACCCAAACAACCTTTTGTTCTGCTTTACAACATCCAGGTGCTGGCGCATCCTTTTGCTCATTGCATGACTGTAGTATCTCCCTGTGAGATACTCCTGTGAGCCTGCCTGCCTCTCATACCCCTCTTCTGTTTGCTCCCACAGTTTGCCAAGAACAACAACAGGATGCCATCCGTCAACATCATTGAGGTTTGACTGCCTCAGACTGCAGCCTTCTGTTTGTGATGATGAGGCATGTGTCCTCTCTCCTCTGTCCCAGGACAGAGAGGTGCTCCTGGGTCAGGCTCACTGTCTGTAGGTCAGGGGCCCTCCACAGCTCCTCAGGCCTGTGTGCTGCGGGATATGCAGCCCAGACTGGACACCCCAGGGACCAGAGCTGATACACACAGAGCCTCCTTATGTCACTGTACGTTAGAATAGTGATCTGTACACTGCACCTGTTTGTTGAATGTCAGCAGTGCTCATCATTTAAGTGTTTTACTGTAGTTATTACAAAGGTGCCATCAGAACCAGGGTTCTGGTTCTAGTCTGCAGACATATTTTTAGTTCAGCTTCATCCAGTGGGACGTGCAGTTAAGTCCAGACGTTGTTTTAGACTGACTCGAAAACTGTAGACGAAGGTACATCAAATACTGATGAGGTTGCATCCTGCTGTTGAACTTTGAAAGACTCACTACAATGTAACATTCCAAGTCCTGGATGAGCCCTTTATACTCTTGTGCATTTCTTTGAATATACTGTGTCTATATTGGAAAACACACAGAGAATCGTTACTTAGTGCTGAACATCCAAAGGGGCAGATCCCTCATATCAGCAATAACAGCCTTCGATGGAGCCCGGACCCTCGGCCGCCTCCTCATAAGCATGCACTCTTGAGTGTCCCATGAGAGCATGCATGAGTGCGGACACACAAGCGCTGTTACCTTTTCCTGCTCAAGAACAAGGACATACACGAGGCTGCAGAGCCCCATTATGACGTCTTGAACAGATGAACGAAGGGCTTCTACTTTTCTCAGAACCATTTGTGTAGCAACCACAACTACTGTAAAAGGGATCAACTTTTGCCATATGGTACTGTACACTGTAATATGTGTAAAATACTTTAGACTTGGCTGGATCAGTTATTAAACTGTTTGGGCATGACGTGTTCATGTTTTAGGGCTTGTTTTATTCAGTAGTAACTGCCTTAATGTCTTGTTCTTTTACTAAGTAGATGAGCTCCATTGTGCTTAAAACATAATACTGTATGTAAATACTTTGTCATTATTTGTAAATGATAATTTACCATTTTGGGTGTAATGGAATGTGATTTGAATTGTCGGAGGCTGTAACTACTCATTTGGGAGAAAGTTACTAAGTTATAGTTAATAATCTCTATCAATAATATTTTTCATCGCTGAATCTTTTACATAGGGGAAATGTTACACAGTTTCTGTCAACACTGATGTCATAAAGCAGCAGAGGCAGTCAAGAGAAATGCTCTGAAGGTTGTGCTTGAGTGCATAGGGAGAATGACTAATGTGATGGCAGCCTTTCATCACTCTGCCTCCACTTTCCCTCTTATTAGAAGTGTAAGACTTCACATGGCCTCCTTAATAAGAATTATTATTACTATTAAATTAATATGCCTGACTACAGTAGGTGATATAAATTTTAATACTACATTGGATATATCAAACATTCATAAAATACACAAATTCACCTCCAAATGACCCAAACACACATTTAGTAGCAAGTGAGAAAATTGTATCCCTGAATTTATGTACTCTGGATTGTGCAAGAAAGTAATGTATTTATTAATCATTGCATCTATTATTTATAGAAGAGTAAATTTAAAATGTAGTCTTTACATGCGAGTGTATATCAGATGAGTTTTCCATGTCATAGCAAAACTGCCAATAGAGCAGGGGATTGTGTTTTTAATATTTAACCAATCTAGATTTTAAGATGTTAAATACATACTGTATATGTTCTATACAGTATGTATTTAACATACATAATAATATGTATTGAACATATGATTAAATACTAAACTTAACATTCAAAAGTATTCTGACACTTCTTACGTGGTTTTGACATTTGATCCTGAGCTCTATAGATTTAGGACTTGTGTTCATATAAATTCTAAGCAAGTATTAACCACAGACTTGTTTTTTTTGTTTTGTTTTATGTTGAGTGTATACAACAGAGTAGAGACCTGATATCTTACCTTATCTTCTCCTAAACAAACATTTTATTCATTCACTACACAGCATGGAGTGTACAAGTTAACAGTGAAATGTGTATTTTTGTTGTGTACAGCAGTCACTGACTAATGAGGGCTAGCATGGTTTCACCATTATGCACAAGGTTACACAGCTTCAGTTCTGAAGAAAACAGTGTATGCTTCCTTGTGCATGCTTCAATAAAATGATTTTCCACATTAACATTTGGTTTCTTCAATTGAAAATTAAAAATGTAAAGCAACAGGAGAGGGCAACATTATAAGACATTAAAACTACTTTAAACACACATTAAGTGCTTTATGTATAAATTCAAATTCAAAACCAACATGCAGTCTAACAAACATGCAAATATTAATAACATGAAAAATAAAGCAAACAACATTCAGTCAAAGGCTTCTTTTGAACAGTTTGGGTACAGTGGAGAAGCGTTTGAAAGTCAAGTCCAAGCTTTTCTCGTAATCCTCAAGTGTCACTCGGCTTGGTTTAAATCTCTTCACGTAATTTCTATTAACATCAAATGAAAATAAATCAGGTAAAACTGAAGGAAAAAATGTGTCTTAAATTGAAAATGATGTACCTTCTTGTGAGATCTGAGGGATGTTGCCAATGCGGGCCTCGAGAATCTTGGGCTACTTCGGACATGAGACTTAAGAGCTCCCCCATCACATCTGTGAGACAAAAACAGGGCAGCAGATGAGTAAAATGTAGAACCATTTAGGTTTTTTAATGCATTTTAAATTAAATCTTTGAAAAGAACTAATCATGGCAGAAACACACAAGAATTACCGTACAACTAAAATAATAATTTTGCAAAGTCCAACTACAGTAGAAAGGGATCCAAACAGACCACAAACAGACCACATTTCAATACATTCTCAACCATTTATGTCCTAGAATTCACTCAAAGCGTTTACCTTGATTGGAGGGCCTCTCATACATGTGCCTTGTCACAGCATTGAAGTATTTTCTCTTTTCCTCTTCTTCTCTTTAGAGAGAAAATCAGACATACAATAAACTCAAGTATTTTAGATGAAAGCTCAGCATCAAACCAGCAAATAATATAATCGTTACTTTTCCAATCGTTGTCTAACAGCTCCCTCTACTGGAGCAACAGAAACTACAGGCGCTACAGGAACAACCACAGATTTGACCTGAAAAAGAAAATAGTGAATTAATACACCGTATATTCCGGACTATAAGTCGCACCAGCCAAAAAATGCATAATGAAGAAGAAAAAAACATATACAAGACTCACCGGAATATAAGTCGGATGTTTGGGAGAAAATGTATTTTATAAAATCAGAGACCAGGAACAGACATTTTATCTTGAAAGGCAAGTTATAGTAATAACAACAGAACAGAGAAGAACAGAGAAGAACAGAGAAAGAACAGGCTGAATAGGCGTGTGGTATATTAATGTAACATATCAACAGTTATTCAGATAACTATAGTGTAACAGGTTTACCAAACTCTCCATCTCACTCCAGATCACTAAATCCATTGGATTCTTCATCCTTGGTGTTACTTGTGAGCAACTCCATCAACTCTGGCTAAATCTATCCTTTCTTCATTGCTGTTAGAGTCTTCCACTTTTCACCTATTCCTCACAGGTTTCTCACTCACTCCAAACTTTCTTTCTGCTGCTCAATTACAGTTTCAGGCTCCATATTTCACTACTTGCAGCATGGATCTATAATAAAACTTTTATTATAGATCTATGACTTGGAGCAGTTCTTTCTGCAGGAGACATGCGCAGGTGAGCGCCAAGTGACAGTGGTACAGGAGTAAAGTGTGTCAGAAGCATAGACTGTATATGGATAGGATACAGAGCATAGAGCGCCCACTCGTGGCTGTCAGTGTGAAAAAAATATGAATATATAAGTTGCACCTGAGTAAATCGCAGGACCACGCAAAACATGAAACAAAACTTTAAAAGAATCTAATTTCAAAAGCACTTGACAAACACAGTTTTGTTTAGTTTCACAGGTCCTCATTGGTGGAATGTGGCACTTATTGTGAAATTGAATAGAGTAGGGAATTATTATTATTATTTTAAATAAAAAACAGGTTCAATTAATCAAAAGAAAGAACTGGTACTAGGAAATGTCAATGAATTAGCAACATTCTGAAAAAAATAAATAAAAAAATCTGCAGTTTCATAACCCTTTTTTCATTGTTGTTGAATTGAAAATTCACAAGCTTTACAAGCAAGTTCCAGGTTCTCGTGAGAAGTTTTCTGGAAATCTTCTGCCCTGTTTCAACCCTTAGGTAATTACACTAATAAAAATAATTTAATTAAAACTGCCAGATTTTTTCCCCCCTAAATTGCTTCTGCATTTTGGAATTTTTGCATTATTGACAGAGGTATTCTGTTTTAGGACTCAGAGCATTACGTATATATGTACTTCTAAACTTTTTTTTAACTGATCTTTCCCTCATGTCCTCCCTCACCAAACCAAGTCATAATTAGAAACACATGTAAATCTGAGTGAAATATGAAATATGCTCTTCAAGAATTGGTAAAGCCATTGTTGCCAAAGTTGGTGATTATCCTTTTTGTGTTTATCTTAATATGACAACACACCATAATTCTGAACATCTTCAGAGTACTTGCTATATCTTTGTAAAAAGCTCAAAGTCTACACCACCGGTGTCTTTGGAGTGAACTAAACTGCTACTGAGGCAAAACAATAGTTTATAGAAATAGTGCAGTTTGACTTGTAGGGGTCAAAGCTGCTCTTGTAGGATGTCTGGGCAGTGCTTGTAGGGGTCTTACCTGTACTTGCAGAGGGAGGGTCGTCTCCCACTCGCTGCCGTTTATAGATTCTTCCTCCCCACAGACCACAGTGGACTCAAATAAAGGAGAACCAAGTCTGAGATCCTCTGGACTTTGTTGGACCGCATCTCCCTCAAAGGACAGTGAGAAATACCCATCGTCCCCTCTGTCCTGCAGGCACAAGAGGCTGTCCACGTCCTTATCAAAGGGCACGGAGCTCCTCCGGCGGCTCTCCTCTCGAGAGGCCGAGAAACAGCCTTCATCTGGGGAAGTGCACTTGAGTCTCTTTGAGGCTGGCGGAGTGCAGTCATTATTGATCTTTATTTTCAAATTAATGTAGCTTCTTTTGGACATCGCTTTTTCTGAAAGAGGGCAAACAGATTAGTTAAGTAGGCTATTTGAAATCATGTAATTAAATTATTAACACAGGTAGGCCTAGTGTGGGGTAAATGTGGGGCAGCATCGTCACTCGCATTTTAAATCGCAACTTCAACTACATACACAATAATGTAAGGTCTCCGTTTCAAAAATAGTCCACGCTACAAAGATTACCTTTTATCACTTGCGTTTTCATCACGATCTATGGTGAACTTTGAGTAGCTAGTAGCCACGTGAGGCCAAACAAATACAAAACCACTTACGCGTCTTTTAAAAATATAACGTTAAGACAAACTAACAAGCCTTTTATATTTTTATATTTACAGACAAATCCTCCACGGGCTCAGTTTAACTATCTGAGCTTATTTAGACTGTGGCACAAACGAGTTGGCGCGCGTGGAGCTAGCTCTAGTATTTCAATAACAATATACTCTTTTAACAGCAGATCTAATTAACGCTGGCTAAAATATAACATCACTGACTGTGGAATTAATTATTTCAAATATAACTACTGAAAAGTAAGTTATTAAAAGCATATTTATTTTCCAATGTCCATTACCTTTTAAGAGGGCGGAGTGTGGGCCTGGTCTGACCTTAAGGCGCGCAGATTTGAACCATGTTTATATACCACAGGGCTTTCTTTATAGAGGGGGGGGAAAAAAAAAAAAAAACTTTGGCAGAAAAACACTCATGATCCCGATTCGTTTCTAATGAAGTTTATGTAAATAAAATTTAAATAAAATTCATAGATAAACACAAAAAGTCACACTGTCTGTTAGTTATCCCTTGGCGTGAACAAAGTGAATTAATTCAGCAACATAGACCTATAATAGGCAAATAGGGCTGTTAAGTATGAGCTCATCACAACTTGTGTAAAACACATTCAGCAGAAACAGGGTTTTTGAACCTCCAAATTAATTAAATATATTAGAAGACAGTCACACTGACTAACAAATATATAGTATATTTTAAATAACATTTATTGTTTTAGCAATTTTGTAATGGTAAAAAAATGATAATTGTAGGTCTGATGGAAAACATATATTGCCAGTTTTTAAACAGCAAAGCTGTTTAATGTTTATTGTCAACTTCTGCCATGTCCTGTTTATATATGTAATGCTACTGACCTGTTCAGGCCAAATGTCTCCACTGGGAGACAATAAAAGGAACCTGAACTTGAAGAGTGAATGAAGCTGCACTTCCACTGAATCCGGAAGTAGCCAAAGCAAGAGTGATGACCATCGCTTAACAGTCCCATACACAGTGTTCAGACAACAACATAGGTTAACTACATCCCTTTGGCTTATGGTAGGATACATCAACACAAACATACAATGAAAATGTAACGCTTGGTATTATGTAATCAGTTTGGTCTGAAGTTGTTAAACACAAAAGAAAATGGCTGAAAACAGTTAAAATTTAGTGACATCACTCTTTGTTGAGAAGAATGTGCTTTTATAGACCAATGGATGCAGAGTGCAGAGATAGAATTTGCATTAGAAAAAATAGGATTGTCATCTTTGTTTTCATTTGTGTGAATCCCATACAGTTTTTGACCAGTACAAACACACATTATTTAAAGCTCTCAATGCTTGACTGTACGCAGCATTGAATGAGAAACATAGGTAGTAACTTTGTTCTTATTTCTGCTGTGAATCAGACTATCCCTCATAACTCCTTAAGTCTTTCCTTTACATTTGTTATCTAAACAAAATTGTAGCAGCAGTTTTACCCTTTACAGATGCAGTCCATTTTTGTCCTGTGTAACCATGTGCATAATATGCCCTCAATGTAACGCACCAGACAAAAGTACACGCATACCACGTACATGAACATGAAGCACAATAGAAGGAAGAATACACTGACTGTAACAAACATTAAATAAACATGGATTTGGTACAAAAAGGGATCAGGAGTTTGTATTGCTTTGGCGAATTTTGAGAGCAGCCTCTTCATGTTTCCACCACTGGTTCCAACAGCAGAAAATATCAGAGCGCCACCAAGTGGTACCCATGAAACAACTTGGCAGTAAGGCAAGGTGCAGAACCTCAACCAAAAGTCTCCTCTTCCCTCTTCACCAGCTGTGTTTTTGAGCAGTTATTTGAGTCCAATTCTCTTCTGGTGAGGGTCTCACTGTAAGAGCCCAAAGTCTGTCTGTGCTGGGAAGTCCTCTTGGTCCCATTTACCTGGGGACAGGCACTCCTCTGTGTTCAAGTCCTGAGGATTCACCCCAATGTCCAGGACCTGGGGGTTAGTGCGAGACTCAGCGAGTCTGTGGAGACAAGTCAAATTAAGCAGAAACACTCTGGTTAGTTTTTATATAACAAAAGAAAACTAAAGTGATATACATGAAAGTAATTCAGGCTGGAATGTTTTGTGATTGAAGATGGAAGATGTAAATTAGCCACATTAGCTATAATCTTTACATATTTACATTTTTACATGTTTATTAATATGTGCTGTCCCTTTACAAATAAATACAATGAGAAATACGAAATTTCATTCATCAATACTGTTTATCATGAGACGAAAGCAGTTTACAAACACTATATTAAAACAGAGAAAATGGGAAAACTATGCAAATAAAATCAACTCTCTTATAACAAAGTGACATGGTATTCCTGGTGAAAAAAATAAAAACAACAGATGAGCACTGGTGGAGTTCACTACACTTGATGATGTTACCTGAGTAGGACTCAAAGCTATCCAGACTGCGGCTGAGGGTGCAAAGGAAATGCCACAGGTCAGTTCATATCAGAGTCTGCCCAAGTTCATAATGTTTCCCTTTCAAAATCTAAACTAATTAATATTGCACCTTTACAAACGTGATCACTGTAAAATGTCACATTAAATTGTGACCAGCAGATGGCAGTACATCACCACAAGCCAATGCAGAACTCAAGAAAAATATCTTTTCTTCATGCAAGAGAACAAGAAATGTACAATAGATGTGCTGTGATCAAGTGTTTGGGAGATGCACTCAGTGCAATAGGCTTGTAAGCCAACAATGAACTGGTATCTGTTTTTAAACTGCATGTTGTTCAAGAGGCAGCATCTCTGTTAATCAGTGTGAGGCAGATTAACAGCACTGTGGTGTAATTACAGTGTGGCGAGTAGACAAACAACAAGCTCAAAGCAGAACTGAAATGGCCTATTGGTGCTTCATTACCAAGATTGTCATGGCCACAAATGACCAAACACTTAAAATAATGACCAGCTCTAACAAATGTACTGTATAAAGCTGTGACTAAAGTCAAACAGTCTACATAAGTTGTGTTTTAGAAAACCTGAAGCCAATTTCACACAGTGTCAGTCCCTAATGCAAAAAGCATTTTATTATTGTGAAATGTGTTTTAAGATATTAGATAAGTCACAAGATGTAAGTAAACGCAGTATTTGATAGTTTTGTGAGAAAAGGGTGGTGGCGTTTTTTGGCTCAGAGCTCTACCCCAAAACAATCAATCAAACAATCAAACTGAGTCCAATGCATTTTAAAGTTATGGCACAGTCTATATTACTGCTGTGTGTCCTTGAGCACACAGGGGTGAGAGAGCCCATATTAAATCAGTGTGCTGGTAAAGTGAGCTTACAAAAGCAGCATGACTCAGGCTGGGTGTCACCCACCAGGCCCAGTAAAAGAAGCCTGTGTGTAGAGAATGGGACGGCAGCAAGTGGAGGCCAGGGAGAGGCTGTGTTTAGCACAAGAGCTCCCAAACCACAGGAGGCTGTTTCAGCACAACGCCCTGTGTGCACTTGGCACAGCTGCTAGTTTAGGGAGTCAAGCCTTCAATTATTCTCACCTGGAGAAAGCTTCATCCAGCCCATCCTCCAGCTCCTGTTGAACAAAAATATGTTAAGTGAGAACTAAAATGGTCAATTATAGAAAAATTACAAGTTTAAACTTCACTGATTAAAATTTCGGAAGGTATCTGACCAAGACCTTCTGTTGCAGTGTAACCACAGATAAAGTAACTTTGCTCAATAGGCTATTGTGTGGCTAAGCGGAGCTCCAGTCCCTTTAGAGAACCCACTGCCGTGAATACAACAGGTGCCGTACATCACTATAGTCAATTATTCACAGCTCCCCATTTTACAATAGTCCATCATTTGTCTCTTACAGTTTAATCAAGCCTCCACAGCTGAAACTGTGTGGCCAGCCTCTCCTTACCCATACAGTATTGTTGTTCTCGGCGGCGTGACTATGCTCCATGAAGGGATCAGAGTCTGTCAGTGTTGTTCCTGAGTGGACCAGCGCCACATTGGCCCCTTCAGCCAAATCCAGAAGTTTTCCTGTGGCTGCTTCTGCAACAAAACACAAAACTATGGTTTTGGGTCATATATGCATCAATGAGAGACTTTCACATCTCCATTATAGTCAATGACTGTGTACAGCAGCACGACTGAGCATAATTATCAGGAGAAACATTTCAGGTCCCTGCAGTGATCCGGTTGATGGAACAGCGGATCAAAACTGTTTTGAATTGAGTGGCACTGAGTGCATTATTATTAGGGGGGCCGTGTACAATGCTCATATAAAAGTGGGCAGCTCTGGAAACTTTGGCAATCATCTATATTAAGTTCTTGACTAAATGTTTGAGTATAAGGTCTTACAAAATGCAGTGTCTGCAACATAGGAACATTAAACAACTATCAGCCAGTTTGTGCAATTGGGCACTCCCAGTGCAGTACCCTAATGTAACTACAGGGTTACGTGGTGTCTCTATGTGCAGTCACAGCAGAGTCTGGTGCCAGGGGAGAGCTGAAAATATCAGGTCTGGTCTCATGAACATGACTGACTCACCTCCAAGAACGGCACTGATCCTAAGAGCACTACAGAGCAATATTACCATGTAATCTGAGTCTTCAAAGACATGCTTCTGAAAGCTCAACACATGTTCATAGTCACGATAGTTACAATAGAAGCAATAAATAGTGGCCACTGACTGACCCAATTCAAACCAGTTTTTTTATGAGGGAATTTATCCAACTGACTAATTACTGGGATAATACTGAAATGCTGGTTTATTCTCCATCTCTGGGGAGAGATCATCCAACACAAAAAGGTATTGAGTCACTAGTTTAATGCAGCGTCACATCAGATTTAGGAAAATTTGGACCTGAATAAATGCCATCATTCCAATCCAAACTCATATTTCTGTTTTGGCTTCACCAGACAGTTTTAGGGGGAAATTCCAGCATGCCATTTTGTTGTCATTCAAAAGGCAAGCACAGGCATTTACCAACCGTACAATGCAACAGAGAAAGGCTTAAGAGACTTATTGGTGTTCTGAGTAAGAGACTTATCATATCATTTCATGCCACTCAGTCAACAACAAACTGAACCTGAAGGTTTTCTACATCAGTAAACCACAACAACTACATTTATAAGTAGGCCTGGCTTGCATCTTAAGGCCTAGACCTAGAAAATACAATGAGCAATGAGGACACATAACATACTAGCCACCACTGCATACTATACAAAATCACCTAGATGAAGTACAAAATCGCTGTTACATGGTAAAAAAAAAAAAAAAAAAAAAAATATATATATATATATATATATATATATATATATATATATATATATATATATATATATATATATATATATATATATATATATATATATATATGGATACTCATCATTACCATTACTCTCAGAATAACCTAAATATGTCATTTTTTCATCCACATCTCTCTTAAAAGCCAAGGGATGAGCACAAAGCTGGATTTCATAGTCAGCTGATATAGTATATAGGCCAAGATGAATGCTCCCCAAGGCTACAGATATGACCACCTCACCTCCTCCCTTCAGGCTGGACAGGCTGGTCGAGCTCTCCGACTGAGAATGGCTGCCTCCTTCTCCATCAGAACCTGACTTTACACGCTTCTCTTTCTCTGTAACAGACGTGAGAACATAAGGTTAATTATACACAGATTTTCCCAAGACTTGCATCTAGGTTTGGTTAGAAGTTGCTGTCACTATATAAGGATGTGTTTTCATTCTTGATGTTAAAATAAATTAGCAACACTAAATGTGAAGTTGTTTGTCAGTTTAAACCCAGAAAGGAGAAGAGAAACAGTTAAACCCCATTTAAAGAAAAAATAAGTTCTAGGTAATCACAGGAAGTGTAAATAAGACGTAGGTTACATGCAAAGACATCTTCTCATTTTAAGTTAACACGTGATGCTACATGGACATGTAGTGGTAGATTTTATTATGTCATTAAGTAGCAAAAGCATAGTTTATCAGTTTATGGATGGGTTTGGAGTGATGAAAAGTGAGCATCATTGTCATAGTAAAATTAATCTATCGATGTAATATTCAAATATTATATCTGTTGAATAGTAAAAAGTATTCAAACTGGCAAATACAAAATATGACTTCTGATGAGAAATTTAAAATAAAAAAAATAAAAAAGAAACAAATCTGAGCATTTAACTTAGTGATTAGGAGCACACTGCACAATAAACCTCTCATGAGTTTAAAAATATTCCTTTTTGTAATCTCTGCTTCTGTGAGGTGAAGTGCATTGACGCAGCTTTATGAAGCAGCAAGGGGAGTTTCTTTTATCTTTAAAACATTCATTCATCCTGAAGGCAACTAAATGCAAAGCTGTAAAAATACTTTAGGGCACATGGAAGAAAGTGTGAGAATTCCACAAATGGACCAACTGAAACTAGAGATTAGAGTCTATCTCTGAAGACACCTTTGAAACGCCACAGTAAAGAGTCCAAAACGAGAACAACACCTTGTTTCCCCTGGGCCCTGCGCTGTTGTGCTGACGTTACAAACATGTCCCTGGGAGCCTTCATCTCCCCGCGGTCTGCCTCTGCAGCCTGCCGCGCTGCCAAACTCTGCTTAACTTAAGTTAAAGATGCAGCAGTTCAAAGCTGCCAGTGCTGTTTACACAGAATCATTGGTAGACTTCTTATGAATAGCAATGGGAGCTGCATCTAACACAAGAATGTGGGTCAGAATGTGTGGTGGGCTGTGGAGATCTACTGTGGGAGGTGGAAATGAACCTGGAAGATGCAGTGAGAAAAGACTGAGCAGAGGAAGTACAGCAGCCTCTCTCCTCGTTCTATGAAGGCTGGAAAATCTGCAGAGCTGCCATCACTATTCACTGATTTAAACCATGAGTATACAATCAAGTCAGCATCTGTCTAAACCACAAACACAATACTGGGGATAAGAAGCATATACGAGAACCTATTTGGATGGTTTGATATTGTGAAAATATAGTCAAACATAACCACATGAATAATTGTTTAGGAATTCTATAGGCCAGGGAACATTCAAGCAACATCCTATAAGGAAATGGTACTATATCTGATGGCAAAAATCATTATATTGTATTACACAGTAATGTTCCTGCCAGCATGCATTTTAAATCAATCTCAATTGAAGAGTCACAGTCATAGTCATCAATATCAAACTCCAAAAACTAAAATGAAAACAAGATCATAATAAAACAATTTCAGATACAACCAGCGGAGGGTGAAAAACGCTGGAGGAATATTTTCAGAGTGACTAAATGAATGTGCATTTCATGAGACAAAATCAATGGCATCGACAGTGAGGCTCAATCTCACTGTGACACGCGGAACAATTCATATTCTCAGCCAGTTATGCCCCGCCTTCCCTGTGTCTGTGTGTGCCATCTCCGCTGTACCATCCCCCAAACCCCATCTCATCTCCTGCACCCTTCAATAAAATGAGAGAGCACACCGAGGTTGGGGGTGAGGACAGAGTGGGAGCGAGAGGAGGGGGAAGAAAGGTGCCAGGTGCAAAACAAAACAAAAACAAATAATAATCATTCAATCCACAGTTGCCAGTGATGCAGAAGAGGCAGGGGGTTGTCAATGTGAACCCATGTGGAGGAACAGCCCTTTCATGTGTCTATATCAGAATCATACATGCATTAAATTACATGCATGGTTTGCTTAGATTAACAAAATATTAATAGCTGGAGCTTCAAATCTCAGAGGAACTCACCATTCAATACAGTGAATAGGCAACATACAGCATGCCTCACTATATTTATGTCTCTTTAAAACAATAATCAATAATATGCAAATTGAGAACCTACAATATCAACAATAAAAATAAACAAAAATGGCCAGCTGAGTTTTGTGAAATATATTTTAAAAAAAAATCATTCATTAAGAAAAACATAGAAATATCCACATTCAGTCAAACCCCTGCTAATAATAGGTTATAAATGGTTCCTTTTATGTCAAGATCCCACACAACCCTTTGAACGTACAAGTCAAGAGTGCAGGGAGGGAATCCTAGCACTCACGCATCAGAGTCTTACCCTCAACAGAATACAGCGACTGAAGGAAAAGGTTTAATTTTACTGCAAGGAGCCCACCCCTGCCCCAGGCTAACCTCATCTCCCCTCTACACCTCCTCAGTCGATACCTACAGTAGTCTTTAACCATGACTGAGCCTCCTATAATCATGAGGCCGCACTCTTTGGACTGATTTATGTGCCACGTGGGAATAGGGTCATTTCACTGGGTGAGACTTCTTTGTAGTAAAGGAGTAAGGGAAAAAAGATTTATGTTTCTTGGATTTCACATGAGAGTGGGAAGATGCAGAACACAAAGTAATTTTTTCCTTGTTGTCCTAGAAAAGCTGTAAAAGAAACGACCCTGTCTTTTCAATTCCAAACACACATTTACATGGCTGGTGGAAATCAGATAACTAGAACAACAGCAGATAATAATAACAAGAAGTGATGATGGGTGTGTGTTTACATGCGAGAAAGAACACTGCTAATTAATAGAGATGTAACAATAACCGAAATATCGTGATATCGTATTGTCACAAGTTCTCACAATAATATCGTGGACCATCACAATATATCAAGTTACAAGTCTCTTTGCTTAAATTAAAAGTTATGGTGCAGCAATAGCTAAAAAAAGACAGAACTACATAGACGATGATCCTTTGCTCCATTTCAGTGTAGATTACAAGAAGAAATAACAGTTCTAAGCACTTTTAAGTCTTAGTTCTTTGGATTAAGTCTTGTAAAAGGTATTTTAAGAGGAAAAAGCAGGATATTAACAGTTTTGTTAGCCTCCACAAAATATCGCAATAAATATCGTATCCTGAGATGTATATCGTGAAAATATCGTACCGAGAGATTTGGATATCGTTACACCCCTACTAATTAACCAGTGGATTTTAGAGTACCCTACAAATACAAGAGTTTAAAAAAAGTAAATTGTAAATGCGTCTTTCAGTCATTCACATTTTCTCTTTCATTTTTGTCTTGTCTTAATGCCACATTATTTGCCGTCTTTTTGCATAACTTTCCTCCTCAAAACCTGCACATGATCACTCATATCTGATGTAATGGTTAAGTTTCAATAATCTGTTAACTCCAAAGAATATGACTATGATCACATTTTTGGTGAGCATGTACGCACATAGCCAATGTCTACAAAAGGATGTGTACAGAAGGTCTAGAGAATGCAGTGGGGGAGCCTTTCCACTCATCCGTCACACTGCTGTGGTAGTGGGGGGCGACCATGCGTACCTTCTTTGGCAGCCTGCCAGAATTCAAACGCCACTCTGAACGCCTGGGCCACAGTCAGGGTCACCGCCTGCGCCTGTGGGAGAGGACAGGCAACCGTGAGTCAAGTGCTGTGAAGGAATAACGCAAATATCTACAGGAGAGGAAGTACAAGAAGCACAAAGATAAAAAACAGGAAGTGCCCACCAAACAGAAGGAGATGCTTGATGATGTTTAGAGAGAAGGAAGAGGAACCTGTGGCTGCAAGACAAGTTGTTTACGTAATAGTGCGAATCAATGGGACTATGTGCCAGAGCTAAACCAGTGCGGGGAAGGAAGTGAAGGGAGCGGTCGCCTCAGTCAGCAAACCTCTAGGGATGAAGGGAATGCCACAGTGTAATGACAGACACCACCTCCTCTCTACATACTCTTTCTATACTGCTATAATCTCAGAATAGTTATACAATGTTAAATTTTTTCCATCCAAAGAGAAAAATAAGTTCTCTCACATGGGGTATGTATACATCTTATTATTTATTTAGTACCTGAAACACTCAATCAATTACTATCATTTATTTAGTAGTTTGAATCTAGTAGAGAAAATTACATATACAACCAGCTACTTAAAAGATGGAAGCAATTTCTAGCTTTATGTTGTTTTTATGTTTAGAGGCATTTGGCAATAAGTAGCAATCAGAAGGTGAACCATAATAGTCCTATGAGGTTCATTTGGTCTTCCAAATGTTATTGGGTTCTTTTTTCAGACCAAGAGTTTGTTTTTATACCTGACAGTTTGGACTGCTCACTAGCGCTCTTCCTCAGAGTGGTCACGTTGAGTTCAGGTTACAGAAACGTTCCCACAGGACTATAAACCAGGATGAGGGGGCTTTTTTTACTCTCACACACCTGGGATACTGTCCTGAGGAAGTCGGACTACAGGTAGCGCTATCGTCCTGCCTCCATTGGTAGGAAGACAGCACCAAAACCTGTTAAAAGCAGCTGACCGGACACATCACACAACATTACGTGACTCTGAGGAAGAGTGCAAGTGAGCAGTCGAAACTGTCAGGTGTGAAAACAAACTTCTGTAAAAAGAACCTAATAACATAGAAGGTGAAGCAACTACATACTGGATGTGCAATGCCTTGAATCATGAATCAAGCACTTTTAGCTTTGTTTTTTATTATTTTTCTCCAGTTACAATACCCTATGGCAACACTGGTATTCAGATGGATTTAGTTGAGTTTGTTAATAAATGTGATGGAAATACACACTCACCATTTTTTTCTTGGTGCATAGGAAAGCATGGCACTCTAGCGTCTCATTGTGTTGGCTCTGAACGATGTAGGCAAACACTTTGTCGTGCATCTTGTCTGCTGTGCAATAGGATATTCTGTGGAGCATATAGATAAATGCATTCAAGTCACACATTTATAAAGTCATAGCTCACCAACAGAATTGTGTAACAGCTTTAAGCCCTTAAGCTTGCAATCTGATTTGAGGCGCGCACTATTTCCCCAAATGGTTGGAAAAAACACAAATCCTAAACCAGCATCCTTGCCAGCTGGGTAGGCAGGTATGGTATGTGTGACAATATTGTGATCCTGGGCTGAACACGTGTACTGGACATCTGCACGGTTTTAATAACGGTGATAAGTTACTGCCTCTCTCTCCCACCCCGTGCTCTTTAACAGTTGACACACAGAGCTCTAAATTACAGCTGTTAGATTGCCTCCTGAGAATCTAAAAGAACTCGCACAGTTAAAGGTGAGGTCTGCTGTGGCCCCAGACAGTGCAGGCCTGTTGTGATTACATGTGTGGGAGAACCATTCGTCTTGATAGAAAGTCTCAGGTGCAGACAGAGACCTAAACCACATCCTTGCTCACCAATATCTCATCTCTAAATTTACATCCAGTGTGGTTAACCCAGGCCGAAGCAGCATTACACAGTTGGGGAGGGAGACCCAAAGCAAAGGAGGAGGTCCTAATGAGTGTCTACCATCTGTCCTTTCTTTCTCCTTCAAGCTCCAGTGCTGTACATGACTGTGATCAGTGTGTAGAGTCGTGGAATATAACATGATAGTTTGAATAGTTAATTTAATTGACTGGTTTTGATCTTTCAGAAATGTATATTGAGCTGTGAATAATTGGAACAGCGTATGCAAGGAATGCATTAAAAGGGAAAATAAGGAGAAAAACTAAGACGTAAGACAGCCAGCTGTTTTATTTCAATTATAAAAAGCTAATTCAACAGATGGCTTGCGTCAGACAGTCTTTCTACATGACAAGACAAATTCAATTCATTTCTATTAAAAGCCACTTTAAAACGCTAGCTCTATAGTTAGTTTTTTTTTTGTAGAAAATCGCTTATTCTTGATCCATAAAATTGCTCTTGTAAATTTGGAGGTAAAACTATAGCCATTATCATCAGTATTTCCTATCCTGCCTTGTCTTAATGGCGCTATTTGATCTCTCTGACTACACAAATGGCAAAATCCCATCTTCTCTCGACTGAGCAGACTTCTAAATGTGAAATTTAGTCCGTGTCGTTTAACCTCATCTGAAGACCAGTGGAGCTTTTAGCGGCGCAGCTGTATGTCACACCTACTGAGATTATTGATGGTTTGCTAATGATTGGATTCTGTCACAGCATGGCCTTAAAGAACCTTCCTACACTCATCGAAATAACAAGAGTCTGCAATTCTTTTTGAATGAATGGTCAAAATAGGCACCTGTAAATGGAGATGTTTTCAATGAGCTGATTGGAGGCACTGTCGTAAAGGATGATTCCACGAGGTGAGACCGTCAACGTCACCTTCTGGAGTTTTTTCCCACTGGCTTTGGCCTATAGGAAAGAGAAAGAACCTGATCAATAAATGCAGTGTTTTAGGGTTGTCATTACCCTAATACTAAACCAATATTGAAAGCAGAATAGAAACAAAATACTCATTTAAGCAAGTATCAGTACTACAAAATAAATACACAGATTATCAGTGAAAGAGGTGGCATGCATTCAAGTTCCATGGCAAAAGTTTTGTTTGCAGGAGACATTCATGAATACAGTTTTAATGCAATGACACTGAAGATTTACAAAGTGGAACAAAGCAACTAATATTTATTATGACAATTAATTCCTTGTTTAAGCTTGAATCTGACATTTGCCTGGAGAGGGCCACTGGCACCCTGGGTAGGCAATAGATTATGTCTCATCAGAGCTTCTGTCAGTCAGGCAGACAGCCCCATGCCGTCCTCTGGGTCTAACCTGATTATGCACCTCGCTGACAGGTGCAATAACAAGGACTTTTTTTTACTTCTTTTCACAGCTGCAAAGGCCAGATACTGACCAACTTTTCATACACTGACCAATAATTATTTTAAGTTATAGTGGGTTAAGGTGCACTATGTAACTTTTTAACTTTTCGCTATAGAGATGTCATTGCTCTGCCTGGAATGTTTTCACTTTAAAAAGCTCTACCTTTAATTTGTAAAATTACAGGTGGTTTAAAAGCTCAAAAATACCAAGAAAAACAGGCATTCTAACTGAGAGCGGGGTCGCCTCTCCACAACTCTGACTTGTAACTTGGTGTGGTTTGGTCTCCATGAAGATACAAAGGTTTAATGCCATACTGTGAAACATTCCAGACAAAGCAATAACATCTGCACGGAGAAAAGTATTTGAAGAACTCTCCACCAGAAAAGTTACACAATGCACCTTTAAGGTAAGGGATACGAAATCATTTGTTGCAAAAATGTAGCCATATTTTTAGCCTTCTCTAAAATATATTAATACTCACTAACCAGTTCAAAAAGACAAGTCTAATCCAGTGAGGACAAACAGCCAATTATTGACCACATTGTCTATATCGGAGATGGGACTGTTACCGATATCTCTGGAAACCCTCCAGTAACCGATAATCAATCCCTACAGTCTAAGGGAGGCAAGGTGCTGCTTTTTGCCTCTTCATCCTCCATACTCCGCCTCCTCCTCTCACCGTGGCCACTATCCTCTTGACGGCGGCCGCAGACAGCTCCTCTCCCTTGGGCTGCTCCACCATGGTGACCCCCAGGTACTTCAGCTGGAACACCATGCCCTCCAGCAGAGTCTCCCTGGTGTCAGTCCAGTTCTCCGGCAGCTCTGAGCAACACAAACACAGACAGAAAGAGAGAGCCTGTTAGGAAGGTGTTCTGTCAACTGCGTGTCACAGAATCCTGCTTTTACAATGTGCCACTGTAGCATTCAAACATCTGTAATGAGCCAGCTCCACGAGAGAGAGTGTCAGAGAGGGCAAGGGATGGAAAACAGGGGCGCAAGGTTATGATAATGGAAACTGGAGAAAGTTTCTTTCTAAAACAATTCAAAAAGCATCATTAGACATTTTTTGGAGTGCACTGAAAAAAATAAAATAAAATAAAATAAATAAACACAAAAATAATAATAATCACCATCATAAAAATCATAATAATCATAATAATAATAACAACAAGTGCTCATCACCAATACATTCTAGACAAATGGGTATAATAAGCAAGCAGTGTAGTCTGGCTATTGCAAATTCAATTAAGATGAAATGCCACTGAAATAACAAATAACTACACAACAGACACCTTGTCATCCATCACAGTTAGCTATAATTAGTTTAAAGTGGAGACTGTTCAGTATTCATTACAATAATAATCTTTTTAACTGTAAATTAACTAACAATTTTCCAGTAGAACTGCTCAGAGAAAGCTAGGGTCTTTTTAAAACTGTGGAGTGTGACCACAATGATAAACCAATAAAAGTAGTTAAATAAAAACTGCCTTGGGTTTTATTACAGCTTTGATAAAACAAAAATGGAACCAACAAGGTCTACAGTTATTTATTAAAGGCAGAAACAAACTTGGTGGAAGTTGGGGCAGTGGACAGAAGCGTTTACTCAGACCATAAAACTACAGGTTGTTTTTAAAGCTCATAAAAGGTTTTATGGTGTGGCCACTCTGCTGCACGATGAGATGCAGGAGAGAGATCCATTTGTCTTCTTTAGAGGCTCATCAGAAAACCTCCCTGGTCCATTCGTGCCTGTGCGCTCCTCTCAGCTCTTTTAGGATTGAAAAATCTACTATTGGTTATGAGCCATGTGTGCAAAAATAAAGATCTCTTTTATTCCATCTCCCCAAATTGAGGTCTCAAATATCATTAATAAACATGTGCTGCAACTATAACCTAAACACTTCAGTAGTTATTTACAGAAGTTAATTATTTGATTACATACAATAAATATTGAGCCCACAAAAATATTCTAATCAATCATTTGCTGAAAAAAAATGTTGATAAAGTAACTATCATGGATTCTTGTCTTTGTCTATTTGTGAGTTCACAAACTCGCAAGAATCCATCTTGAAAGACTCCTACTGTAAATTAGGCGGGCAGGCAGACCAGTCACAGAACAGCATTGAGGTATGTGTGGAAGCCAAAGGTGAAGTGCCCAAATGAACCAAAACAAACATGGTGATGCCAAGAGATGTACTTCAGCCTATTTCAGCGAAAACACAGACTATTTTGTTTGTGAAAAATGTGCACAAGGTAAGTGCTTTGTGGACAGGGAAGATGTCTGTGCTTTTGAATTTTTGGCTTGTCAGAGTCAAATAATCGTCACGATGTTCCGCGTTTTCCGATCACTTTCACTGAGAGCCTTCCCAGATTGATGTGTAGAACTCGATTTAAAGTGCTGCACTTATCAAACTGGCAGGAGTCAGGTTATATCCCAACAGGCCTACTTTCAATTTTGCAGTCCTAGCTGACATAAAGCATTAACATAATTTAATAAACTAGACATTATTGAGTAAACATTTTTTACCACTTACATATCCCACAAATAGAAGACCTGGGCAGAAGTTCGATGTCATATTAGTTTACAATCCACTCTCATCTGGAACTCATTAAACCTGTTGGAGAATAACCAGTAATAATAGCCCTCTCTCTCTCACCAAACGCAGTGCAGTTTGGGAGCTGTGGTTTTTAATGCACTAAATATATCCCTAACCAACCTGCACTTAAGCAAAGGGCGAGTCCAGATCAGGGTCAAGGTCTCTG